TTTTTTTCTATAAAATCCATGGCTATATCTTATAGTACACTAAATTTGGAACAAAAAATCTCATTGAGCCGAATTTCCATTTTCATGATTTTTTATTGTATTTTTGTGCAAACATCAATATTTTACTTACAAAAAGTTAATAATACAAAAATAATGACTTTACACGCCTGTAACTTTTCAAGTATTGACGATACAAAAAAAATATATATAACTTTTTTGTAGGACATCAAATAAGCTACAAAATTGCTATTTAACTTTTTCGTCTAACTTTAATAGTTTAGCTGAAAAAAGCAAAAAACGGTAAATTTTGATTTCAAAGCTCTGTAAAAAAATCAAATAATGAAAATGGAAATTCGGCTCAATGAGACTTTTTGTTCCAAATTTAGTGTACTGTAAGATATAGCCATGGATTTTATAGAAAAAAAAAATTTCGTCCTGGGTTGCAAGAATAAATACGGTAAAAAAATCATTTTTCTGTGTTTTTTAAACGGTAAAATTTCAGATTGGATGATGGACCTCGTAAAATTGAAATTATGAGCTCCGCTTCTAACAGGATATTTCTTTAGACATATTTTACGATATTGTTGAGTTGTACACAATACTTGTAGACAGTACAAAAACCTTCAATTGAAAAGTTCTAATCTCTTGAAAGGTTATTGTAAAAAATGTCCAAAAACGGTTGATAATTGTCATTTTTGCAATTACCTACATGAGAAATTTTGTAAACTTATCGCTGAGGTGTTAATTTGTTTCGTAGTTTAGTGGTAAAAGAGTACGATGCGTTAAGCCAGGGATGTGGGTGCAATTCCAGGCGAGGGTGTGACAACAGCTATAAATTTTTCCTCATTAATTTGAGGTAATCTGTGGTGGAAAGAAATTATGTTGATTTCGCATTAATGTTTAAAAATTATTAAAATATTAGAGCGTTGACTTTGTACGGGTGCAAAAAGATGACGGTGTTAGAAAAAAATAAGTGATTGGGGAATATTGTGGAAGTTAAAATGGAAGAGCAGATCCCAAGATGAAAATGTTTAGTCTCTCAGAGTCTATGAAAGCGAGACTCGAGTCTCCGTCTCTCATCGAGTCTGTCTGGTGTCGCTGAGAGAGACTGTCGATAGACTGAACTCGCTGAGCGAGAAACTCGAGTCGCTCATAGAGAGATCCTCATTTCGTATCCAGTCTCTGAACGAGAGACTCGAATCTTTCAATAAGTGGTGTCTCGATAGACATGGTTAAGAAAAGTTCAACATATTTCAGAGATCCTAGTCTCTACGAGAGACTCCAGTCTCTCAATTTTTCAGTTTTATTCATTTAGTCTCTCTGTCAGAGACTCGAATATCTGAATTAACAATTTTATTGTTCGAGTTTCTCGTACAGAGACTGTATGAGATCCATAAAAACACCTAGGCAATAACTGAGAGACTGTGAAAGACTGTAAGAGATTGGGGAGAGACTGAAAATTTTTGTCTAGGGATATTAGAACTTCTTCTATCACATGAAGAGTTAGTTACAGACATCCTAAAACCAGAAACAGAAAGAATAGGAGGACAGAGGACTTTATGGAAGTCAATAAAAAATGGGCGAAATAGATAGGTAGGACACCTTCTCAGGCATGAAGGTCTAGTCAGAGACATATTAGAGGCAAAAATAGGAGTTAAAAGGAGTAGAGGAAGACCTAGATTAGATTACTGTTCGCAAATAGTTAAGGATGTGACATGTTCAAGTTTCAGAGAAATGCGAAGATTAGCTCAGGATAGGAAGGATGGGAGATGTGTGTCCTACCAGTCTTAGGACTGGCGACCTTATGATGATAAAAAGAAGTCCTAGGCTTGATGACTTTAGTAAATAGTTGAATGCAGGTTCTAAAGCTAAAGAGGGTGAAAGGCTACTTTAAAATTAAAAAAATTCACTTTTGTATTGAGAACAAGACCAAGACTACCTTTATACTAGCAGGACCAAAACCATGATCAAATATGTAAGACCAAGACCAAATGCGTAAGACGAAAAATTATTACCTACTTCCGGTGAATTTATGAAATCGATACAGTAACTAGTCGTTTCGATGGTTAGAAATTGCAGTTCATTAATGTATTACCGGAATGAAGACAAATAAATAATAAAAGTGAAATACATATAATGATGACAAGAAAATAAAATGTTTCATTAGTTAACTATTAATTGTGTTATTTATAATTTTTAATTTAAAAAAAACGTAAGTATCAGATTAAATGAGCAAGAAAAGGACTTACGCAGGACTTAAGACTAAGACCAAGTCCGAGATTATATCAGTAAGATTAAGACCAAAGACAAGACTAGAAATATGTTAGCAAGACCAAGATCGGGACTCGATAAGCAAGACCAATACCAATATTGTCCCAGTCTTGGTCTCGCTTTGCTCATCGGTGCAGTTTTGCTTGTTTTTGACTACTTTGTGGCAACAAATGTACCGATACGGATTTTTCTCAAATTTTTCATCTTCTGTTTCAAGTGCATCACAGCTTCACAGCAAGTACCTACCTATCATTTCCATCTCTGTTTTTTTTATTCACAGTGCACAATCTTTAAACAATGTAGATGTGATTTGATATATCAGATTAGGTTTTTTCGCTACACTTCTCAAGGTTATTTGTATTAGACGAAATGCGTTCCGTATGGTCAGTAACACTTTGGTGTAATTTATTGTTTTTTAGAGATCGGTGTGATATCTCTCCATGCGGAAAAGAGTGGTACGCGATACACATTATGCAAGTGCGTACGGCGTACGTATGATAAAACGTGCACACACACTTAACATAAATAAATCTGTAGGTACTGTTGCATGTCGCGTCGTAGTCTTTCTCGGTCGATCGTTCGTTCGTTCGTTCGTTCAACGAATTGGCACCGGTTCAAATATAATAAGAGTACTCGTCGAAAGTCGCACACCTTTTCGTTCCCACGGTAATTTTTATATTTGCTTCTTGTATTATCGCAGACATCGGTCGTTGTCTAATAAGGATGCGTCCAGACTATTTATTTCTCACTTATCCTACATTTCTAAACCAGTCTACAGAGTGACAGAGTGAATGGTAATATTAGTACGGGATGCAATTTTGGCCTTGATCGAAAGAAGAAAAACGTTTGGCCGTTGTTATCAAATAATTGCGTTGTTAAGTGCAGATTTGTATGTTTATTAACATGATAAGTACCTGTTAACTATTACGGTAAAACCATAACTCAAAATGAAAACGAAAATATAAAGTAAAACAGTAGGTAACGATTATCTTGAACTTATACACTATGTATGATCAATACTTTGGAAAAATGAATGGAAAAGAAGGTATATTTTGTATTTTGTGATAATACTTTCCCAGTCGAACGTGAATGAGTACAGATTATTACTACTTATTACGTACAATTGACTTGTCTACGTATCAGCTGTTTGCGAAGGTCACGAATAGGTCTCTGTGTTTCGTCGAAGACCGATAAGATAACGCGGTAACCGTTCTCAATCACTGGCGACTCATTAACTGGGGTACTTTTTATGCACACTTTTTACATCCCTATACTATGACGAAATTCACTGTAAAGTACCACCAGTTGATCAGACATAAAGTACAGGAACATTAGTTCGTTGAAAGACTCGTTGGACATGTACTCCACTCTTTCATCCTGAGCAACTTGAAAACTTACAATATCCCACATTCAATACCCTAAATATTTCCCAAAAAGCGGAACTGTTTTATTTATTTTTTTTGATAGTTTAGATACAGTCAATGATAAAATTTGAAAGTGCAAGTTACATGGTTGTTTATAATTAAAGCTTATATATAACAAACATATTATAAA